TGCTCCAGCCATCCCACAGGCCCACATCAGACATCTGATCGTATCTATGCCCAGGAGATTCCAGTAACTGATCTACGCAAGAGGAGGCAACACACCATATTAAATGGGAAAGACTGTACGCCTATAAATTATTGTGACCTTGACTTTTTTTTTTTAAACTCGTCAATTGATTGGTGGAACCCTAGTACAAACTTGTGTGTATTTGAGTTGTTTCACTTATTGCATTACAAAGATGCAGATTGTCAAAACTGTCAGTAGCTATGTGTTTCTTTCTTTCCTTGTTTTTTTAAAGACAGTTTGGCATGTGGTGTAAATATTTTACGTATAAAACAAAACAGTAATTTTCAACAGCACCCAATGTTACATGTGCAGTAGCAGATATACTTAAGATAGTCAAACACGAACTACAGTAGTTCATCAGTATACGTTCACTTAGGTATACGTTCAACTAGGTATACGTCCTGTTTAGAGGCGAAAACTTGTGCTTGGTAATTTGTTATACGTACTGTTTGGTATACGTCCAAAGATCTAAAACGAATCAAGGACGTATACCGAGGTACCACTGTACTAAAATATACTACCAGCAATAAGTTATACTTGAGAATGTGAGAACCGGTTTTTAGTGCAATAAATATGGATTTTTAAAAAAAGGAAGTAAAGATCCCTTTTCACGCCTTAGGTGCATTGCGAATATGGGAAGAGCACCCATATTTTTACAGACAAATTGGCATTAGGCTGGGTAATGTGGTCAGCATTACGCTGGCCGTCTTTACCTCCCCATGATATACATCCTTGTACCCATTTTAGGCTTGGTCGACCTGCGACGTCCCAAACAATGAAAACAATCCACGCAGCCATTAGTACGTTGGAATTACGAGTCGGACTCGCAAAGCCTAACCCACGGATGCCGCAGTAAATATGGATACATATACCCAAAATGTGTTAAAACTTTGAATATCCTAAAAAAAAAAAAAAACACACACACAGTGGTAAGAAATACTCAAAGATATTTTAAAGCATTTGTTTTCCTAATACAAAAATATTTGGAAAATATATGTACATGGTTTTAGAGGTTTGATTATCCCAACATAAAAATATTGCGAAAATATACTTAAAGGGTTTTAAAGCTTTAATTAACTATAATATGAAACAGCATAACAATATATTTAAATAATGATTAGAGCCCTGATTATCATCATTATCATCGTCATCATCATCAAGTGCCTTACCAGCTGGCGTAAGCGTTCATTCATCTCCACAAATCTCGGTCTTTGGTGTTCTGGATCAATTTCACTGATGATATTCCTCCATGCCACTGTCTTAACGCCATCCACCATCGTTTCTCTTGGTTTGCCTCTGCCTCTTCTACCAGTTATCTTTCCAGTAGACACGATATTTTCCGGTGCTCCGTTTCTCATCACATGACTAAAGAACTTTGTTTTGTCTCCTTTTCATTTTTGTATATAATGTTCTGCTTTCATTATCCATTTCCAGGCAATCATGTTAGTTATTCTGGCAGTCCAAGGTATTCACACCATTCTTCTCAAGAACCACATCTTAGCTGCCTCCAAACTCTTCTTAATTTGATTATTCTAAAATAAAATCTTTTACACCTTGGATATCCTAATGCTAAGGTATTGGGCAAATATGGGTACATCCTGTTTCTATTAATGGACAAAATAAACTTAAAAGGTTTTAAAGCGGTAACTTTTCTAATGGCTTAACAAGATTAACATAATTAAAAATAAACTTAATTTAAAAAAAAAAAAACTTGGAATAATTCCCTTAAAAGTACCGTCGTTTATCCTAATATACATATTTAAAAAAAAAGTGGGAACATTTAATGTTTTTAAAAAAAAAGGAAATATAATCTACCTTAAAGCTTTAATTATTCTAATATAAATACCATTAGAAATGTAACGAATTCTTTTTAAACTTTGGATGATCCTAAAACACACAAAACAATATAATTAATTAGCAAGTTTAATAATATGCTGTGCACACGCTTACATTCTCTTCGGAATGACAGAGTTTCTATACTAAAGATCTTCTTACGTGATCTGTGGGAGGAGAGTGGAGGAACTTATAGGGATATCTATATATCCAATGAAACTATTCATCTGACTTCTGTGTCGTTGACATCACACAGGGCTCAGTTCTACCAAGTTCAACCGATCGATTAATCAGATCCTCCCACGGCTGCCACTTAAAGGTTTACCAAACCATCCTGTGATGTACAGATCTCAGTCAGGACGGCAGACCAACAAGGTAGATACCAGATACCCTGTTCAACCTTAGAAGAAGTTACAATTAGGGCACCTGTAACGGCGTCCACCATCCAGGTGCAAGCTGCAGTCCTGCGTGGGTGAGGACCGAATATCCTTTGCAATTTGCCCAACATCATTTACACTCTGGTCCCAAGCCTGAATCCTCTCTTATCGACATTTGTTGCAGGATTCCTTTCACACATCATTGTTTCCATAATCCCCTTCACTTGTGTCTTAGGGTATGCTAGTGTGAAAGGCAATAAGAGAGCAGACACTCTGCCTGGCAGCGTGACTGTCAGGAATAAGCCCTCTATAGACAGGAGAGACATCGATGCCATCCGAGAGACTTAACGCTGTGAGGCTTTCAGTTTTGTGGAAGATGATTTTTAACCGAACTGACTGCATACCGAAGATGATTTTTAACCGAACTGACTGCATACCGAAGATGATTTTTAACCGAACTGACTGCATACCGAAGATGATTTTTAACCGAACTGACTGCATACCGAAGATGATTTTTAACCGAACTGACTGCATACCCTGGGGGTTATCTATTGGAGCTGCAAGACAGGTAACTATGCGGGAACCACCAGTCGTTAGAATAACTAGAGCAGAAAAAGAGTTGTTAGCCTAAAAACACTTGAAGTCAGACTAAGGAGGAGATCGGAGCACTTATGGTCATGTCCGATGTGCTATGAAGATGATCTGGAAAAAAAAAACGAACAGCCTATTTTGTGATCTATTCTAATTAATGTAGAAACAGTTTGTTTTTCTAAATTAATTACCCACACCCCTGATTATCTATTCAATTAAGAGTGTGAAAATCATACTGATTGATTGACTGGCACCTTTCCGTCTTTTCAGACGATAGTGTTATATTGCGCTATGAGGAGGCATGGAACACAGCCCATGGCGATGGCGAGTGTGACCCGCCCGAGTCAAGAAAAGTCATATTACCACAAAGCAATACAATGATCACATTTACTGCCTGGACTTCAAGCATTTTACCATGATGTAAAATAGGTAGGGTGGGAAAGTGCTTTTGTGTGTGGCGTCTCTAAGATTTAAGGCTGCACACGGAGTGAAATCACTACAGGCTGCAGACTAGAATTTTTACTTGTATCCCTAACAGGCAAAGAAGAGACGAAATACTGAAGTTTTAACATCAAGGAAGATTGGCTAATAAACAGCATCTTGTCTTGTAAGCTGAAATACTTTGGTCATATCAAGCCTCATGGCGGATTGAAAAAAAAATTATAGCAGAAGGCATGGCACCAGGAAGCAAGAGCAGAGACCGGTCACCACAAAGATGGGCACAGGATATAGGAGACTCCTTCAGTATGAAAGTACACGAGACGGGAGAGCTGGCAAGATACTTTCTAGCTGTCCGTGATAAGAGCGACGTTCTGCAAAGGACCTGCTAAATGATGATGTGACCCTAAAATCGTCTTAACAAGAATCAACCCCTAACATTCTCAAACGAAAGCTCAACATTATCATCATTCCATCAGCCGCTCCATAGATACCCAAACCTATTAAAATAAAGCACTAAACTTACTAAATAAAGAATTAACAAAGCAATTTAACCGGACTCAATCATCATCATCAAGGTGCTTAGCATTATCATGCCTCATTCTGCGATCTCCCAGTTCGTGTGCCGACACTCCTCCATACCATGCAACAAGACTGTCAAGCATCTTCTCAATCCCTCCTTCCACAGATCTTTCCAGTGGTCACAACATGTTCTATTTTCCCTCTTCTCATAACATGGCCGAAAAATGATGGCTGTCTCCTTCTGTCTGTGATAAGTTGTCTTTGGGTTCCCGCCTCTTTCAAAACCTTTTGGTCGCTCTTTTTGGCTGTCCAAGGTTTTCTAAGCATTCTTCTATAAAACCACATCTCTGAGGCCTCTAAAAATTGTTTGGCCTGCCTACCGATTGTTCAGTATTCACAGCCATATGTTAAAACTGGATGTATGTATCAAGCAAGAATTCCGGACTCAGTACACGTGTCAAAATATATGTAACAATTCCAACCCACAAAAAACAGTAGTATTTGATTATTACCTCTTCATTTTCACGCTTATAATTTAAATACCTATTATCTAAAACAAACAAGCAAACATTAACATAAGGCAAGTTAAAGTAAACAACACTTGAAGGCTACAGCTTGCATTGTCTGGTTTTTTCTTGTTGCTGATGTTTATCATTTCCCTTGTGACGTTCGTCTCCTGCATGATTGCTGTGTGTTTCAGAAAGCACCGGCTCATCGCTCTGGTCTTCAGAATTGTAACTATTATGATTGTGTTGCTTCTCTGAGGTGTCTTCTCCTTCGTGCCCAGGGCGTGAATTTGAACTGAGTTTAATGTCATTCTCGTGGAAGTTTGAATTCTTATTTCCATCGCCATGATGTAGATTTGAGGCTGTGATTTCATGATTACCGGCTTCCTTGCCGACATCATTGTCATCATAGTTGTCATCTGCTTCATTTGTTTCGTTGTCTGATTTCCCGTTGTGGTTCTTGTGAACTAAATCTTTACTTTCTGCATGTTTTCTTTTGTCGTCTTCTTCGGCTGTCGTTAGCAAAGCTTCAAATGTTGTCCCTCTGTTAAATTCATAGAATAAGTTGTCTTTGATATATATTCTGACTTTATCATACAAGCCAGTGTTTCGTTCACCTCCCGTCTGAGGCGCCAAATAAAGAAATTCTATAGTCTTTTCACTATACCATTCTTCAGTGTCCTAACAATGGACTTGAAACAGTGAACTTCAGTTTGGATTCTGTAACACCAGGAGTTAATTCCCCTTTAAGATTTCGACCCAGCTTCAAAATCAAAACCCCAGCTTCGTTTGGCTCAATTTTCAGATCCCCGACCAATCCGTGACCGTAACTTCCGATATATTTTTCAACAGGTGCTAGGTATTTCACCATTTTGAGTTCCTCAGGTGCGATTTCTTCTTTATGGTCGTCATAATCATAATCTGCCGCATGGCAGCAGCAGGTGAGATTCGTGTCGACCCAGGTAGATTTCCCCAGGGTGATGTCAGAAATGTAGAACATGATGCCGTCTAGGGCTCTGAGGGCGCGCTCATTTCCGGGTCCGTTGATGGCGACAAATATGGCAGACATGGAGTCTGGAAACAGCCAGATCTGAGAGTTGTAGGCGTACAGCGAACCACTAAACTTGAACCGTCTTTGACCTGATGAGAAGATAGTGACAATATTTAACAGGTACGAGAGAATTAACTTACCTAATCATTTAATAATCATAGATACATGCAAAGAAGAGGAGAAATACTGACATCTTGAAAGATCTGAACATCAAGAAAGATTGGCTAATAAATAGTATCCTTTCTCGGAAGCTGAAATATTTTGTTCATATCAAGCGCCACGACGGATTGAAGAAAAAAAATAGCAGAAGGCGTGGTACCAGGAAGGAGGTGCAGGGACCGACCAATATGAAGATGGTCACGGAATATAAGTAACTTCTTGAGTATGAAAGTACATGAGGCGGGAGAGCTGGCGAGAGACCAAGTTTATTTTAGGACAGACGGCGATAGAGAGAGCGACATTCTGCAAAGTACCTGCTAAATGATGATGATGATAAGCATGCATCATGAACAGAAAATAATCATTGTCATTAACATTACTGTACCGTTGTGCATTATCTATGACAACTGGATCGCAGTAGAGACCTCGATTCTGCTTTATCCTGTACACACTTTTAGAAATCAAGGATGGAATCTTGTCCAGGGTCTTTGGCATATCTAGATATCTAATCAACGTTTTGCCTTTTCTCTTCACCTTTCCTTTTATTTATACAGAAAATGGAGAAAACATAACTGAGCCGCAGTGAGGCAGGCGTTCAGAGCTTGATGATACAGACTTCTTCTGAAGTCAAAGCAGTCATTTATGCAAAACGGACCAGTAGTTCCACACGTTATGAGTTATAAGTTATGAGTTATAAGTTATGAGTTATAAGTTATGAGTTATAAGTTATGAGTTATAAGTTATGAGTTATAAGTTATGAGTTATAAGTTATGAGTTATAAGTTATGAGTTATGAGTTATAAGTTATGAGTTATAAGTTATGAGTTATAAGTTATGAGTTATAAGTTATGAGTTATGAGTTATAAGTTATGAGTTATAAGTTATGAGTTATAAGTTATGAGTTATAAGTTATGAGTTATAAGTTATCTTTACAAAACTCCATAGGTGTTCAGATTTCCCCTTTAACATATTCATCGCCCGGCTCTATAGCGTAGTTGGTTAAACCTGACTTCCGCGGCGGCCGGGTGACGAACTCCTTGTGGTCCGGGTTCACTCCCAGGGGTATGCAGAGAAGCCACATTTCTCCCAGATTAAGGGTACCTATAATGGAATCAAGGCCGAAGGGTTGCGATGCCCATAGTACCGGTCTACAACTCATGGTTTCTGGATACTTTAAAAAAAAATATATTTATCAGCTCGTTCGACTTTCAGACATACACATCTGGATTGTTGTTATTGTTGTTGTTGTTGTTGTTGTTGTTGTTGAGACTTCAGTTAAGCGATTTTGTAAATTCTTATTTGTTGATGTAACTGTCTACTCAAGTAATGTACTGATAAAGGATTTATAGCCGCAACTTCACCTTTTTGTGTGATTTTGATAATGTGAAGCTGACCAGATCTAATTTTTGTTTGGCTTGATATATTTTTCAGGAGAAAATTGTTTTCAAACTATTAAAATAACATTGTATGTTACAGAAATGCATAAGCTTGATATGTTTCGGCAGGAAATAACAATTAAAATCGGATACTTTCTTTTTATACCTTCTACATGTCAAAATATAACCACTGCATGACATTTGAGAACAAAACCCACCCACGAAGTTTTGTTTCACCCGTACGCCTCAACAAAAAACAGCTGCATTCGTTAAGTACCACACCTAATGTCACGATCGTTGACTGTCATTTCAAATGTCACGGTCGTTGCCTGTCATTACCTCTGTACGTGGAAGAGTACCAGCCCATGCCGTATCCCAAGGCAACCTCAGACTCGTGGGCCAGCGTCCCTTCGCGATGGTTGCCAGGGACAGTCACCCACTGGTGGAAGGCGTCGCTGATGAGCATGTTAATTCCCGAGTCATTTCCCGTGGCGTGCAGGTTGTGAAGGAGATGCCGCAGCCATTTCGTGATGTCGTCTGCTGACGCCATGAGAGATCCCACGGGAAGGAATGGTTGTAAGCTGGAAAACAGACACAAGATTATTGTTATAATATTGTTGCAAATCAGACAAGATCCCGTGTTGTTTTCATCGCTCATTTGTAAATGGGGGTGTAACAGACTCATCGTGTCTAAACATGCATATCTAGCTTAACCTATGTGACGCCCGGCTCTCTAGCGTAGTTGGCTAAACTGGATTGCGCGGTGACCGGGTGACGAACTCCTTGTGGTCCGGGTTCACTCCCAGGGGTAGGCAGAAAGGCCACATTTCTCCCAGATTTACAATGGAATCAAGGCCGAAAGGTTGCGATATCCATAATACCGAGCCTAAGGGTTAACAACTCATGGCTTCTGGATACTAAAACAAACAACAACAACCTATGTGACAGTTGAACGGGGTTTCTGGAACCTCTCAACGGGTGATTCTCATTCTCATAGTGGCACTTTGTGTCACCGGGTGTTTATTGCTTGAGTGATGTCCTGGTGGGTACAACTACCTACCTACCTACTGTTAGTATTTGATCTAATTGAGCTGAAGTTCCAAAGAACACCAGTACTGTTCATCTGGCAACTTTCCTGTCTGGTTTCCGGGGCCCCATTTTATTTGGCGGGGTAGGGGAGAGGGAAAAGACTAATCAGGGTTGTTTCTCCTTTGAAGCCGGTGTGAATCTGCCTGGAAAGCTAGGAACTGACGGTCTGTATACAGAAATAGGCTGGGTCTGTGGAACGGATGTGCACGCAAAACTCCGTTTTTGGAACAGGAGTAGAGTCCAGAAGTGGACAAACAACCAGAACTTTCCACCGAAGTTTAAAGCCGGTGAACGCGAAGAAGAAGAAGAAGAAGAGAGGAAATAGTTTTGCCGCTTGGACAGAACGCCTGGTGACGCTATACCGTACAAGGTATATACCAAAAGAGGAAAAAGACATAGAGTACAAGGTGAATCAACTGTTAGATGAAAAGATAACATCAGAACAACTCTACAACAGCACGATCTGTCTGTAGTCGAGACGGTCAGAAGAGCCAGGAGGAGAACTTAAAATCTTCATGTGGTACAGTTTCATTTATGTATGTGCTGATGAAGGCTCTATAACCTGAACGTTCACGTTTTGTTTGTGTTTGTTATATTGTAAAGCTTGCTTATATACTTTTCCTTCGGGTTTATATCAATTCCTAATTGCAAACGCTGAAATGTGCTCTGTTAAACTTACATTCCTGAACAAAAGTAAAGAAGAGGAAGAAGATATATGTAGCAATGTCCATTCTCTTGACGTTACTTTAGCTCATGTGGCGTGCAGTCGTTTGTTTCCAGGCAATTATTTCAAGAAAAGAGCAAAGATTTACTTGAGAAAACTCCTGACACTGAAACTTATCCAAAGAACTAAATGTGTGTAACGTCGCTGGGTAATCTGGACACGTTCAGAAACATCTGCTCTCAATACGAGAACGTGTTAAATATTTACTTGCAAGTGCTTCGGCTTAGGCTTTTAAAATCGGCGTGGAAGGGAAATGGTCACCCAAGCTCATAAAACCATGATGAATATATGAAACTAGTTAGTAGGATTTACATTCTGGCGGCAGCATGTACTGGAATTACTGTGGTGGCCACATGTATATGGCCACCTAGTAAATAATTGCTACTTTCATACAGTTTTGGAGTATTGCAAGGCAAAATTACGGCTGCAGTGATTGCCCCTAGTGGACCAGAAATAGCAGTGGAAGCAATACTCACACAATGTGATGCAGTGTAACAATCTTGAATTGTTGATTATGCACTAGGCGGCCTTAAACTGTTGACCACCAATGTAGGTTAGTTGCGTATCCTTTACAGGACGTTGCAGAACCTACACCAACAGCCCCTGGCTGTTGTATGGTTTTTATAGGCAAGTTTGCGTCTAGTAGTTTGCCATTGCTTTCAGGACGGTCGGCTTACTTGATACCACTGTCGAAACCAACGCAAGGCGCATGGCCCGCAGCTGAGATTGAACCCGGCATCCCGGCATTACGAAGCGTTCGCATCGACTTAGCCACAGAGCCGACGACCACCGGTACTATTAAAAAAAACTTGTTCGACTGTAAGAAATTTCTTCTTCTTCTTCTTCTTTTTCTTCTTCTTCTTCTTCTTCTTCTTCTTCTTCTTCTTCTTCTTCTTCTTCTTCTTCTTCTTCTTCTTCTTATTATTATTATTATTATTATTATTATTATTATTATTATTATTATAGTCACGATGTGTACTTTGGTAGTCATATCTATCCACAACCTTCTGTCTCGTGTACTTTCAATCAGGTCCGACATAGATAATCTTCGATGCCATGATGTCAAACTGTCCAGCATTGTATCTGTCAATCTCCCTCTGACTTTTTTCTCCTTCAACTTTCCCGCTGTCACGATGTACTCCAGTTTTCTTCTTCTCGTGACTTGATCAGAGAATGTAGATTATCTAGCTCTGTTGTGGGCAATTAGTTCTCTTCGTGAGTCTCTTTGTTTAAAGAAATTCAAGCAATCTACTAAAGATTAATTGGCTGCAACCTAAATCTCAGGGAAGCCGCGGTAGTGGCTAAAACCTGGCCAACTGGCAACAAGGTTTTGGCGGGAAATTGGAACTGAGATCTTTTTATTTAAAATTAATTTTAGCTTCCCGGTCCATACAATGCAAGATAGATACTAGGTTATGTTCTGGGAAGTAAAGGCGGCTGGGTTAAAAGTGACCACATCGCCCACAACGTACCGATTGGTCTATTAATAAAAAGTATATGATCATATGCCCGATGAACTACTGGAACAGCAATTATTATTTGTTAAAGTATTGTAGCATTCAATGTTGTTACCTTAAAGACGTTGTTTATTCCTGGGTAGAATGTGTTAAATAATATCAGTCGGTTGTCAGATGCGGTCAAAAATGACAGCGCTGGGTGGGTTTAACGGGTTAAAATAGTTACCGCTCCTGGTCAGGAGTTAAAATAACAGGTGTTCATGTTGTGAATAAGTTAAAATAGTAAATCTTTGAGGCTAGACAGATTACATTTAGTAAGTAAGTACATTTTAATCCATCAGGACATCACACAGAGCGATAAACACCCAGTGACACAAAGTGCCACCGTGCGGATAAGGATCACCCCTGGAGAGGTCCCGGAAGCCGCGTCCAACCGTTAGGCCATATTTCAGGCCCGGCTATATTTAGGGCCCCCAGCAAAAGCCAGGGTGGAGCTTCAAAATAACTAAAAATTACATCCCACTTAAGAACTGATTCGTGTACTAATGACTGACTGACTGACTTTCTACCCCACCAGGACATCACACAAGCGATAAACACCCGATGACACAATGTGCCACCATGTGGGTAAGGATCACCGTAGAAACCGCGTTCAGCCTTTACGCCATATGGCCAGGCTATATTGCGGCCGCTGGCAAAAGCCAGAGTAGGGCTTCAAATTACGAAAAATTTCATCCTACAAAGAATAGGAAATATATGATCTTTTCGTGTAATAATGACTGACTTTCTACCCCACTAGGACATCACACAAGCGATAAACACCCGATGACACAACGTGCCACCATGTGGATGAAGATCACCGTGGAGAGGTCCCAGAAACCGCGTTCAGACATTTGGCCATATTGATGGCCTGCCTATATTGCGGCCCCTGGCAAAAGCCAGAGTGGGGCTTCAAACAACAAAAAATTACGTCCTAACAAGGACGTAAAAGATGTAGTTGTCGTGTAATAATTGGATTGGATTGGCTTTTTACCCCACCAGGACATCACACAAGCGATAAACACCCGATGACACAAAGTGCCACCATGCGGATGAGGATCGCCGTGGAGAGGTCCCAGAAACCGTGTTCAGACAATTGACCATATTTATGGCCTGCCTATATTGAGGCCCCTGGCAAAAGCCAGGGTGGGGCTTCAAATAACAAAAATTTTCGTCCTAAAAAGGACGAAACTAGAAGTTAAAATGGTAGACACTAGTGGTTAAAATGGTATCTGTCAATGGACAGAGGTATTAAACGCGCACACATGTCAATCGTTAAAAAAGAAGTGTAGAAAGAACCGCTGGATTCAGTTGCTAAATTCCAGCCAGAACTGGGCGAGGTAATGAATATCACTACTGTTAGAATGCGAAGAGTTAACGAATAGGAAGCCATCAAAAGTTGTCGAACATGGCAAACAACAGACATGCTTACGTCCACTTCCCCCAAGTCCCACCGCTGCAGGAAACTACCCAAATGTCAGAGGCTCTTAACAAGCGGTTGTCTAAATGTCTGGCTGTCTAAAGTGAGCATTAACCCATCAACTGTCAGAGATCATTGAGGTCGCTGAGTAGTTTGTCTATCAAGCTGACCTCTGGTACACTGTGCATGTTAAATTAAGAATTGACATCACAGCATTCCGAACACTCCCATAAGCGCTCCATCCAGATATTTAGCAGCAAGCGAAAAGTTATAATTCCAGTGGTACCAGTAACTGTCTGATTGTACATCCGTCTCGCCTTTATATTGAGTGTTGAGCCTCGGCCAGATCCCATGGTAACTCCCCGCACTGCCATTCTCCTCAGACCGTAATGATCGATTTGTGCGTGGTATACAGTGAGTGGGGGGACTGCGTGGTCTCGAGGTATGGTGTCCGCCTTGAGTGCTAGAGGTGCCAGGTTCAATCTCTGGTAACGGCGGGGATTTTTTCATATACAGCACATTGGATAGTGGTAGCTCACTGCACTAACAAGTACCGTGCATTCAATAATATTTCCTGGATATATATATATATATATATATATATATATATATATATATATATATATATATATATATATATATATATATATGCATGGATAAATATGATCGATGGTGGTTGAGGATGTTTTCATAACTACCCTTGCATTCAATAATATTTCCTGGATATTTGTGCATATATATATATGCATGGATAAATATGATCAATGGTGGTTGAAGATGTTTTCGTAAATCTCGTGGGGAAAGTTAATTGGTTGTTTAAGGTTATACGATATAATTATATACACTCACGCC